GCTCAGCGGCAAAAGCGCCTGCCTGGCAAGCGCAAGGTCGTGAGTTCGGTTCCCGGTACCGGAGAAAAACCAAAAAAAAAAAATTTAAAAAAAAATAAATAAATAAACTGTATAGCAAGACCATGTCAAAAGAAAAAAAAAAAACCTATCTTTCAAAATTGATGGACAAATAAAATACTTCCAGGACAAAGAACTCCTGAAGAAATTCATAACCACCAAGCCACCGCTCCAAAATGTTCTCTAGTTAGTAATCATAAAAGAGATAACATGGACTATGACTCCATAAACCCCAACAGAATGAACCAACCAGGCAAAGCAAGTAATTAAACAGAGGAGGGATAAAAAGGAACCAACAGGAAAATAACATGACAAGGGTAAGTCCATACATGTCAGTGGTAACTATCAATGTAAATGATCTCAACTCACCAATCAAAAGAAACAGACTGGCAGACTGGATCAAGAAGACACAGCAATATGCTACATACAAGAAACACATGTGATCCAAAAAAGAAATTCATAGACTGAAAGTCAAAGGATGGAAAACAACTGTCCATGTGACAAGAACCTGGAAAAAAGCAGGGGCAGCTATGCTATTTGCAGAAAGTGGATTTCAAACCAAGACTAATACTAAGAAAGACAAAAAAGGTCACTACATATTTGTAAAGGGAACAATCCAAGAGGAAGAGATAAAAATCATAAATATATATACACCAAATACCAGAACATGCAACTACATAAAATGAACACTAATGGACATGAAAAATCAAATTAGCACTAACACAATTGTAATGGGGAACCTCAATACACCATTGTCACAATTAGGTCAAACAGACAAAAAAAATCAACAAACAAGTATCAGAATTTAAACAAACTTTTGAACAAATGGACTGAGTAGATGTCTACAACATCAAAATACACATTCTTCTCAGCTACACATGAGACAGTCTCCAAAACAGAGTACATACTAGGTCACAGAATATGCTTAAGTAAATGTGAAGGAACTGAAATTATCCCAGGCATATTATCAGACTATAATGTTATGAAAATGGAAATCAGTGACAAAAGAAGTGCCAAGAACTTCTTATACAAATGGAAATTAAATAACACCCTCCTCCACAAGCAATGGGTTGCAGATGAAATTAGACAATTTCTACAATTAAATGATAATGCCAGTATAACATACCAGAACATATGGGACACAAGGAAAGCAGTCCTATGAGAGAAATTTATAGCAGTGAATTCCCATATCAGAAAAACAGAGCAAGTCTAATGTTGAACCTAATGTTGAACCTCAAGCTTCTACAAGAAGAAGAGCACATTGGGGGCTGGGGACTTAGCTCAGCGGCACAGCGCTTGCCTGGCAAGTGCAAGGTCATGAGTTCTATTCCCAGTACCAGAAAAAAAAAAGAAGAAGAACACATCAAGCCCAAACCTCACACAAGAAAGGAAATTTTAAAGATCAGAGCAGGAAAAAATGCAATTGAGACTAAGAAAACAATTCAAAGAATAAATGAATCAAAGAGTTGGTCCTTTAAAAGATTAAATAAAATTAACAAACTCTTAGCCAAATTTACCTAAAAAAGGAAGATAAGACTCAAATCCATGAAATTAGGAATGAAAAGGATGAAATCACAACAGATCCTACAGAAATCCAGAAAATCATTAATACCTACTTTGACAACCTGTATTCTAATAAGATGAAAAACACAGACAAAATGGACAGATTCCTAGATACATATGAATTAACAAAGCTGAATTAAGAATACATAAAAATTCTAAATAAAACAATGTTAGTCAATGAAATTGAAGATGTAATTAAAAACCTATCAACAAAGAAAAGCCCAGGTCGTGATGGATTTACTGCTGAATTCTACAAGAAATTTAGAGAAGACCTAATGCCACTATCTCTCAAACTCTTTAATGAAGGGGAAGCAATACTCCCAATTTCACTCCTTGAAGCAAGCATTACCCTGACAGAAAGAGAACCACAGGCCAATCTCCCTAATGAACATACACGCAAAAATCCTCAATAAAATACTAACAAACAGAATGCAGCAAACCAAGATTATACACTGTGACCAAGTGATTCATCCCAGTGATGCAGGGATGGTTCAACATATGCAAATTAATAAATATAATACACCATATTAACACAGCCAAGGACAAAAACCATATGATCATCTCAATAGATGCAGAAAGAGCATTTGACAAAAGTCCAACACCAATTAATGATAAAAACTCCACAGAAAATTGGAACTGATGGTCTTTATTTAAATCTGATAAAAGACATCTATGACAAACCAACACCCGACATCACACTAAATAGACAAAAACTGAAAGCTTTCACTCTAAAATCAGGAACAAGACCAAGATGTCCACTCTCACCACTCTTATTCAATATAGTTCTGGAAATGTTAGCTAGAACAATTATACAAGAGAAAGAAATAAAAGGAATAAAAATAGGAAAGGAAGAAGTTTAATTATCATTACTTGTGATGACATGCTACTCTACATAGAAAAAACTCCTCCCAAAAACTCCACCCAAATATTTCTAAATTTAATAACCAAATTTAGTAGCATAGCTGGATACAAAGTTAACACTCAAAAATCAATATCATTCTTGTACACAATTAACAAACTCACTGAAAGAGAAATCAGGGAAGTAACACCTTTCACAATAGCATCCAAAAAAGTAAACTACCTAGGAATCAATCTAAAGAAGAAAGTAAAAGACCTCTACACTGAAAACTATGAAAAAGGAGATTGAAGAGGGTATCAGAAAACAGACAGATAGATAAACCTTGTTCCTGGGTAGGAAGAACCAATACCATGAAAATGGCCATACTTCCAAAATTATTATACAGATTTAATGCAATCATAATTAAAATTCCAAAAGCATATCTCACAGAATTAGACAAAACAATCCTAAAATTCATTTCAAACCAGAAGAGAACTAGAATAGCCAAGGCAATTCTGGGCAACAAAGCCAAGGGAGAGGGGATCACAATCTCTAACTTGAAACTGTATTACAAAGCTACTATGATAAAAACAGCATGATACACACACACACACACACACACACACAATCCAAGGATCAATGGAACAGATTAGAAGATTCAGAAACAACTCCAGACATACTTAACCACCTTATCTTTGACAAAGGAGCCAAACACCTTCACTGGAAGAAAGACAGCCTCTTTAATAAATGATGCTGGATGGGCTGCAAATATAGCGCAGTGGCACAAGTGCCTGCCTGGCAAGTATAAGGTCCTGAGTTTGATTCCCAGTACCAAAAAAAAAAAGTTAAAAAAATAAATGGTGCTGGAAAAACAGGCTTTCAACATGTCAAAGATTAAAACCAGACCCGTATTTTTCATCATGCACTAAACTAAAATTGAAATGGATCAAACATCTAAATATTAAAACAGAAACATTAAATCTGCTGAAAGACAGAAATGGTACAACTCTTGAAGACATTGGTGTAGGCAAAGACTTTATGAATAAAGTCTCGATTGCACAGGAAATATCATGAAGAATCAATAACTGGGATCTCAACTTATTAAAAAAGCTTTTGCACAGCAAAAGAAACCACCAACAGAGTAAAGAAACAACTCACAGTATGGGGAAAAATGTTTGCCAGCTATTTCTCAGACAAAGGACTAATATCTAGCATACACAAAGAATTCAAGTAAGTGTTTACTGAATAATATGAACTATTGTAGCAGGTAAAGAAGCTTCGGACTTCATAGTGTAGTACGTCAGGTTTCAGCACAGATCCACAAGCATAATTAATGATCACATTTTTCAATTACAATTTCAAAATAACCACTTACCAAATACTATTCCTTTAGCAAAGGGAGGAAACAATTCTGAATGACGGAATAAATGCTTGTGAATTTGCCACAGCTCTTTGTGCAGTTTCTTAAAATCACTGTATCTCTTCCATACGATTATCTAAAAAGAGAAAAAAGATTAAAAGTACGCTTCAGAGTAAAAGCATTTACGTTCTGATATCTAAACATGAAGTTATCATTTCATTAAAATATTCAAAATTGTCAAGCAGAGCAAACATATGCTCTAACCAATACAGTGAACTGTCTGAAATTCACTAATACTTGCTTTAAAACTACAAAGCACCAAGTTTTCCTTATACTATTTTGTTTTGGTTTTTAAATTTCATTTTAAACAAATACTGTTTTATTCTTCCTGGGAAAATATTCAACCTGGTACAAAGAACTTCTATAGTACATAAAATGTAACTTAATCTCCTAAAAATCAATTATCATTGTCCTAGGAAATTAGTTAAATGTCCAACATGTATTCTTTCTCAAAAATAACATGTTTATAAAGACAAAATAACTAACTTAGATAATTTTTAAACACAAACGACATACTCGGGGCTGGGGATTTAGCTGAGCGGCAAAGCGCCTGCCTGGCAAGCGCAAGGTCGTGAGTTCGGTTCCCAGTACCGGAGAAAAACCAAAAAAACAAACAAACAAACGACATACTCAACATTTGCCTAAAAGGATAAATTGAGTAACAGTGAGGAAGAAATGGCTGTGTAGCAAGTCATTAACAGGAACTTTCTTATTTCATAACTTTTTCTTAAATCTTAAACTAAGAAATAAGATATTTGGGGACAAGATGAATGCTGATCAGAATACCATTAAAATTAGCATATTGCAAAAAACCAAAAGAATAATCATCTACATTGAATAACGTGAAAGTGAGTTTGCCTTCATTAGTCTGAATTATTTAATCTTGCTCAGATTCAGTTAGACAAAAGAAAACTTTGTAAAAAGAAAGGATTTAACACATAGCATTGATATCACTGAGTTGGCCCTTCGGTCCCCAGAAAATAGGGTAACACTGCGTTTTAAACTGTTACTTTGTATATTAGGGCCTTTTCTTGTGAAAAGCTTAATCTCTTCCCTTCCAATGAATTCTCAAGTGTTTTCATGTACAACAGAGTGTGATGCTAATGATCAAATATGGCTGGGCAGATAAGTGATTTAGGAGATTCTTGCCAAAAACCTACTGTGTTATAAGAAATTCTTTACCCCCAATTTTGTCATACCACCTGAGTCTTTTTGTTCTTTATTTAATTTCAATCCTGGGAGACTAGGCAGATTTAAATGAACTACTTCCTCCTGATGCTTCACTTTTATTCGTGCAGTAAACAACAAAAAACTGTCACCAAAGCAAATATTTTCATGGCCCTCCTCAGTGCTGGACATCATACTGTCACAGGGGATAAGGAAAAGAGACACAGAGGGCCTCCTCCAGAGTTCTCAGTTTGGTTAGGAAGAGTAAGCCAGCCCAGGACACCCAACAGGCCATCACCAAGCAGGGTGGCACGGTGGTGGGACAGGGGACACCTGAGAGCCCTCTACAGAACTTGCTATTTGAAGGGAAGTGGTCAACAGAGCCGGAAAATAAAGACGAGGGGAAAGGGGGTGCAGTTTTTAAAAAGAAAGATGCCACAGAGGTATTACTAGACTTTGGCTCTTGCAACTGGGTAACCAACTGGTGGGGCCAATCCCTGCGGTGGAGGCAGGGAAGAAATAGCATGGGGAAGGAAGAAGTTCTGCTGTAGACGGCTGGTTTAGCGCTTGGCAGGCATCTCACTGGGTGTGGGAGTGAAGAGCCAAACCTGCTCCTTGGGAGCCATGACTGGACAGGAGGTAACAGGTGAGGAAAGGGAAAAGGAGTGAATATGGCCTAGACGGAAATGCTGACACCAAAGACTAGGCAGAAAGAAAAGGAAGCTCAGAACGAAGTGCTTGGGAAGCCTGGCCATGCTGCGAGATGAGCCGCTGAGAAAAAGAGACTTCACTTGAAAATGGAAGTGAGTGAGACAAAAGCTGACAGCAAAGAGACAACACTTCCACTAAGCAGAAGGAAAGGAACTGGCTGACAGAGCCCAGCCAACACTGGAGAACCGAAAGGCCTCAAGGGAGTAAGATTTTAGCCATCATATTTTTGGCTTCTTGGTAGTTTCTAATCTTGACACGAAACATGAACAGAATTCTGTCATGAGGAAAAAAGTGGTATTTTCCATACTTTAAATTATATCAAATTATGGTAGCCCTGCACTGCTAAGGGTTGGGAGGAATGGGCACTATCTTATGAAGGAAAATGGCACCAGGAACTGGTATCACATAAGGTGAAAGCCATTACAACGTGAACAGAAAGACTAAGACTTCAGATTGTGGAAACAAGTTTGCAGATAAAATTGATATTCTAGTTAAGATCACTTTCAAATAAAAAATGACTCCAGAGGCAAAATTTAACAACTCGATCACAGCGATGATTAAAATGCCAGAGTATAATCTGTCAGAGCAAGAATCAGAACTGCTGACACAAGGATCCGTGTTTCTTCACCATGCCTTCGCTTACTCCCTCACACATGCTTTATCTTAACACTAAGGCTGTAGACCTGAAATACCTACAAGCATTGCCAATAGCACACTCACTGCCTGCATTTATCAAATGCATACTCCTTCGAAACCTTCAAAATGGAAAACTGAATAAAGGTGCACTTACAGCACATCAGCAAGTACTGATGTTTATATGTGGACTACATAAAGCTCCAAAGACACATGCAGAAATTGTTTATTCAATTTCTATATTTTCCTATTAGAAAAAAATAACTATGTAATATCTATTACTTCACTGAACCAAACCTGCATACATTTCTTACTCATTAAAATCACTGTGAAGAAAATTTATCAATGAAATGTTAATTCAATGATAACCATATACAGACTACAAACAATGTCTAACTTTTCATTAGAAATAGTCTCTTAAATATTTTACAATAACCTCCTCCTTTTCAGATAATTATAAATAATGACATCAAAAAATTCTAGAGCCCTATATTTTATGAAATCACCCAATTCTTTTTTTTTTTTTTTGGATTTTTTTGAGACAGGTTCTCACTATGCAGTTCAGGTTGGCCTTGAGCTCACTTTGTATCCCACGCTGGTCTCGAACTTGCAATGATTCTCCTGCCTCAGCCTCCCAAGTGCTGGGATTACAGGTGTGTGCCACCATGCCCGGCGAAACCACCCAATTCAATTAACTTTGGCCTTTTTACTCTTATATAGCATTTAAAAGTTGCTGGATCATCTTTTCTAAAATATGTCACTACCATCCCATTTGTTTTTTATTCTTTCCCCTCTTTTCAAGAGCCTTTTCATTCCCTTAATACATTTCTCTAAGTGTGTATCTATTTTCAGAAGCTTATTTATGAAAAGACCATTTGGAGATTTCTGATATGATACAGAGAAAGCTCAACTTCGGTTGTTTTCCTTTCCCAGTTTCACCAGTGAGATATGCCACCTACTGAGAAAGTGCTGCAGGTCACCATTAGGAAAGCTGGGGGAGGACGGAGCACAGTCTTTCTGCACCATCCTGCAAGCGGCCCATGTTCTAGAGCAGTGACGGCAAATCTTCTAATAACGAGGGCCCACACTGCAACCTAAACCCATGAACTTATCACAAAATTGAATGCTGTAATTAAACCTGAACATCGAGGTTTTAGTTTAGGAAAAACAACTCATACATTAACATCTTTTGTCTTAAAAACAAATAATGCATGTGCCATAGGTTCGCCACCACTGTTCTAGACCATCAACAGAACGAAGAGGCCACAGGTCAACAGCTGCTGTACTGTCACTCATGTTTTTCTTAATAAAAATTTAGAGGAAATTTTTAAAACTTTTTAAGAAGAAAGTTATCCTAGGTAATTTTAAATTATTTACTCCATGTTAATACTTTTTAGCATTCTTAGGAAAAAAACACTAGTATCTGATATAGTATGTGCCAAGATGTGTAGTATATAAAAAAAGAGCAAAATTTCTTCAGTTTGAAAAGGATACCATATTATTGATCCTATAACTGATTAGAATAACTGTATATCTACTAGTACTCAATGGTTCTTATGAAGCCCAAGTATATTCTAAAACAGTAACTAAATTAATCAAGTAATGGAGAAAGTGAAAGGAAAGGAAATAGAAATAAAGTCTAAGTGAAAATTCCTTTCCTAAGTGAAAACTCCAGTGTTTAAATGGGATATGTGAGAAATAAAAAAAGTACTAATACAGGTAATTTCAAGGTTATTTTACCCTTTAAGAAGCTGACTGGATAGGAGACTTTTTAAAAAATGTATACTATTTCCAACAAAGGACCATGCAATTGTCTAACTAAAGGACACTTACAAGAGTTTTCTGATGAATGGTCATCAACAGTTGTTATTAGAAAAGAGTTTTCCCCAAAAAAAGATTAAGGAAATGGCAGAGAGTATGTTCATGGATAGGTTGTTTCAGGATTCTCCCTGGAAAAGTGGAACATCAAGCTACAAACTACAGCACAGCAATCAGACAGCACTGCAAAGGAAACACGACCGATTTTCAATTTTAACAGAACTGTAAATTCTCAAAAGCAGAACACCCTGGCACTGACTAATACAACAAAATTAATGGAACTCTAAGAAACAGTTCATAATAATCAACTGATACTTAAGTAAAGATTACTTTCATTAAACAATGGTGCAAATAACACTCACAGGCATATAGAACCTTTTCTTCCAAAGTAACAATATTCTCCCTATTATGAGGGAAGGGAAGCTATCTTAAAACCCAGGAGGAAAGTAGTATGAAATCTTTTTTCAATGTGTCTATTATTAAACCTTATAATCACAGGACAAAAACAAATATCAGATCAGACACAATACCTTAAGGAATTGTAAGGTAAAACATTTAAATATTGTCTAAAGCCAAGGATGACACACTCAAATCAATCAGGACCAAATTATCAACTTAAATGCATGAATCAACCCAGGTATGGTCAAGGACAGTGGGGCCTGTGGCTAAATAGAAAAAGTTCATACCCCACCCAGACACCCAGATTCAATCAGGGAAGCACAATAACAAGGTTGCAGAATCAGGACTGCAAATTAACTGCCATGTTTTAAACACTTCACAAGCGACAAAATCCCCAAGCCTTCTAGCTTTAGTGACAATGAGCAGGGGTCAAAATGAAAGTAAATCAAGAAACATTAAAAGTAAGGATTCCTAAAAACATGCAACAAGCACAACGCAATTACAAATAGAGAATTGCACAGTTTTAAGCAAAAACATAATAGGCTGGCATCACTGCAGAGAAATGGACAGAAAAAAGAAAAATGCAAAGAAAAGTCTGCAAAAAGAATTAACTTAAAAAGTTAAAAAAGAAACATCTACACCTAAAACAGATTTTCAAGATGTCAATATATCAATTCAACATAAAACTGGAAGTAGGTGGAGACCCATAACTTATCATTATAATCTTTAAAATTAATACTAGTTACCAAATACTTATGTTATATTAAACAGCATCATGAACTTGAAATGATTAGAGGTCCTCAATTAATAGAAAAATCTGAAGAGTATTAGTTACCAGAACAATTATCACTATTAAATAGCACTACAATTCCTCAAATTCCTATTTATATAACTTAACACCTACTTAGTAGGTCTGAAGTAGGACATTTAGCTACTATTTTAGGAAGCCACAGACAATCTTCCTACAAACACTGATACACAAATAATTCAGGCAGTTTCCTCAATAAAGTATTTAATTAAATTTTTGTCAAGAACAGAAAATGAAATTTTCATATGGATAAACTTGTTACCTCCTGGACATCCTCTGGGTTTCTCCGTGAAACAACCTAAAATAAAACATACATAGAAATATCGCATCATTATCAAAATTTAAGATTTCACATTTGCACAGTTACTTCCAACAGTATTGTCATAAACATTTTCATTTGCTTAAAAAGTACTTATCACTAAAAAATTCAGCCATATAATAATGTCACTATCTGAAATACTAAAATTTAAAGAAAAAACGCAGCTAAAATTAAGCACACATGCATTTTATTCATAAGAGAATCTCTCCCGTCTTCACCCTTACTTAATATAACCCTAACAAGCTTTGCCTTCCCTCCTTCCCAGCTTATGCATAAATCAGAAGCATAAAGAACTGCTGCACTTAGGCAAAGTATACCAGAGATCTCCACATACTGTTTCTTATAACTGTATACGAATCTGCAATTGGGTCTATAAAATTTCAATTTACAAAAAGGCAACCACAATATTCCACACACCAATATCAGTGACAGGCGATCCCTGGCAACCCAATAATGAAGAAGAAAACAAAAGTAACATAAAAAATTTAAATGCAAGCATTCAGAGGCAAACAATCATATCAATATTCCTTGAGCAGAGACTGGCGGCGTAGCTGAGTAATAGACTATGCTTACCACCCATAAGGTCCTGATCCAATACCCAATACCAAAGCCGTGTGTGTGTGTGTGTGTGTGTGTGTGTGTGTGTGTGTGTGTGTGTGTATCTAGAACAGAAGATTCTAACTTTTCACATTACAAAGGCCATAAAGTCCAACACCACATAGAAAGATTGACTCAAAAACCTTTAGAAAAGAAAAAACTAGCATTGTAGAGTGGGAAAATATCACACTCTGTAACGTGTATGATATAAATTTATATTACATAATATCATCTATGTAAATGTAAAATTACTGAACCTGAGGCTACAATGATGTATCCTGCAAAGCCAGACAGAAAGATAAACCCATTACACATGATTACCTATGGTAAGGAGGAAGAAAACTGTCTTTGATGGCCAATGACAATATACAGTACCACGCACTGGGGTAAGATTAATTCAAGGTTATTCTTAAAGTCCAAAATGACAATAAAAAATGATGAACTTAAAAGTCAAGCAAACTGTAATTCAAATTATGTTCCTGAAGTTAAGGCTTGAGCTCATCTATAAAATGAGGGCTATCATGAACATCATCTGGATATCATGAACATCAAGTAACAAAAAGAACTGCAGGAGAGTTTAAAACCCTAGTATGTTCCACCTAAGATTTCCAGATAGTAATCTGCTGTCATTTTGTTATCCAGTTTTCAGGGTATACAAATTTGGTACACTCTCTTAGCCATTTTCATTAATTTAGACCAGGGCAATCCAGCAGAACTTTCTGTAATGAGGCAAAGAAATGATCCTATCTGGACCATTCAGCAGTCCTTGAAATGGCTGCTCCAACTAAGGAACTGAATTTCAACTTTAGACCTTTTGAATTAATATCTACATGTGGCTAATGACTACCACATTAGACAACACAGATTTAGAATAACAGGCTAAAACACATAACTAACAACTGTATCTTATTCAACTATTTCATTTTAACTGTTACTTCAAACACCAGCATGCTCCTCCCACACATACACCTTTTCACATAATTAAATTGACCATCTTCTAGTTAATTAGTATGTCACAGAATTCCCTCATATAAATTTTTTATACTTTTTCAAAATGTACTAATCAGAACAGAAGTCATGGATAATCAATCCACTAATAATCAACCAAAAATAATAGCACAAGATCATTCACAGTAAGATTTAGTCAGATGTATCTTGTATTTCCTAATTTAGATTAGATATTCTGCATTTAAAAATATACTAAAGTACCCGGGCGTGGTAGCGCACGCCTGTAATCCCAGCACTAGGGAGGCTGAGGTAAGAGGATCGCTATGAGTTCTAGACCAGCCTGGGCTACAAAGTGAGCTCAAAGCCAGCCTGAACTACATAGTGAGACCCTGGCTCAAAAAGACAAAAAAAAAAAAAGAAAAAAATATATATATATATTTATATATTTATATATATATATACACACACACACACATATATATATATACTAAAGTAGCTTCTTATTTTAAATAATCTTCCTTAACATATGCAAATGATCCTTTGGGACAGAAAAAATTATTTCTTAGTTTGGTATACATACTAGAATGATCACATTTTGGATTTTCTTCTTATACACCACTCTTGGAAATCAACTATATATGTTCTACACATGCATAATTCGTTAGTCACCCCCTATTAATATCCACAGTTGGAGGTTTATCACAATATCCACAACTGGCTTATCAGAAATAGCCACTTTGATGATGACATCCCAGCCAGCTTCTTAACACCTCTGCTATGTGCTGGGTTACAATAGTGACCCCTGTCTCATGGAACTCATGGTCCACTGGTACACAGTGGCCAGGGAAGTGGGGTGAGCTTCCCCAAATTATTTTCAGATCTCTTAAGCAGTAGCTTAGAAAGCATTTCATCTAGACTCTTCCAGTGACATCCAATCTTCACTGTTAAGTGCTTTGGGACTTTTCAAGTTTTCCCAATGAAAGTAACTGATAGCTATTTCCAAAAAACACAGAAAATTGTGTGTGTGTGTGTGTGTGTGTGTGTGTGTGTGTGTGTGTGTGTGTGTATCTAGAAGGGAAGGTTCTTAAACTACCTAGGTGAAGGTCTTCATGCTCATTTTAGGTTTAGTAGAAGAATTACTCTTTGCCATCCAAATATATCCCCAATGAAAAGGGAAATACACTTACTGTCAGAATATTACATCAAAAACTATTTTTTAAGAATTAATGGTCTCTTTCCTCAAGAGAACAAACAACGCTCAGAGGAAGTCACAGCAAGGAAGTACTGGACTGCACTTTAAGGATTTTCCTCTTTGCTCGTGGAGCTTCTGCTTCTCTTTTTCACATTCCTCTTTCTCCTTCTTTCCCTCACCTCTCTGTGAGTATTCCAAGAATCAGCTGTAGACTGTGATTTTAGCCTCCATTTTATTATATCATAATCTATATCTGTGCTACATAAGTCTATTCAAAATACTGTGCTAGAGTGGGTAACTAAGTACATTCACATTTGCAAAGCTTTTGGCATGAATGATTTATTTTATTCACTCAACAACCTATGAGTTGGGCAGGAATGGTTACTATGAGAACCCCTTTTACAGCCAAGAAAGGAAAGTAATGCAGAGACCTGTCTGAAGTTATTTGTCTTCAGATTTAGGATTAGAACCTCAATTTTCTGACACTTGGTCTAGCCCTCGCTCCCCCATACTACACAGCCTTTGCTTATCCACAATATTTTCAGCAATGAATAAGCTTATTTCCACAGAACACTACCACCATTAGACTTCATCTATTCTTTCATTTCTGCCATGTGTATAAAAACATAATCACTTTCCCTATGCCATACATATACAAATATGAACACTCCCCAAACACATTATCAAGTTCAACCAGCTGGCAGCCCTGTATAAGGGATTCAGTATGCCTATGCATGTAGTCTCATGGAAACACTTTCAGAACATATCCTGTACAGTGGACACCCAAAACATAAAGTGTCTACTAGTAATAAGTGTCTATTAGTAACTTTTTCTACCTGTAATTCTCTTTGGAGTCACTGAAAAGTTGATGAAAAATAAGAATACCAATCAGGTATCTTAGGGAAGAATACAACCCTACTCAAAGTGAACAAAATTAAACCCTCAAATCAAAATTGTGTAACTTTCAAAACTTTATTAGTGATTACCAAAATACAACCTACTAAAGAAGACTACAACCTACTAAA